TTTGATTTCCACATAAATTAGTTAAGAAAATTTTTAGCCATAGTCCCTTGTTGGTGTGAAACATTTCCACATAAATTAGTTAAGAAAACTTTTAGCCATATCAGGATAGCACTGCATTGTCTTGTCGATAACTTCTGTATTCTCATTACATGTCTGCTAGGGACTGTCTTAAGACTGGAGGGGCGGTGTCATTCAGAAAAGGGGTTAATAGCGATGTGACAGTAATTTCCCGAGCTCTTAAACATTTGTTGACCAGAGACACATTTTTATTATTAATATTTCTACTTTTTCGTTTTTTCTTTCCGGTGAAACTCCCAGGATGAAAGACCCACGTAAGTTGAAGTATATTTAAACTATTGAGAGAACTATTTTCCTCCACAGATCATTCAGTAAATGTCGTAATCAATTGATTGAGAGCATAACTTTCTGCTGGCATTACTTCCTTTGTTTTCAAGTTCCTTTTGGAGGGTGTAAGGAATGCACGCGGGCTCAGTTTCATCAAGTGCGTTCCAATAAGCGAAAATTTGTGTTGTAGTGTATCTGTTAAAGTTACGTGATTGTGTGCGAACGGTACTCTTTGTTAGGTGTATGCGTTGCACAGGTTTTTTGTTGGTGTCAGAACAAAAATCTGAGCACCGTGCGCAGGCACGGGCACTACCTCTAAGTGGTAGTGTTCGGGAAACTCTCCTGAACATGCGAACATGTCTAAACACATTCCCTGTGCTTTCCCCGTGCTTCCCTGCTATGTAGTAGCTAAAATGGTGAGTACACATTGCAGACTACAAAAACGATGTTGAGCACTTAGCCCCGCTTTTGTATGGGTGTGAACATACTCCTTCGCAGATTGAGCACCTAGTCTAAACAAGGTCTTAGCTTCCTGTGTTTACTCACAAGCCAACTTCTTTGCCCGGATTGGATGCTAGTGAGTCATCTTGATAACAATTGTGTTAATATGTGTTTGTATTTACTTATTTATCTAGAAATGGTTGCGCTAAAATCAACTCCTTACAAGACATCCAAGAGGAAGACAGAGAGCAAGCACCACTCACCAGTAGGAGGTCTATCGTGAAAAAGTATCTTCTTTCAATTCGACAGCCCATTGGAAAGGTATGCCAGTCATGTGCTTTTAATGATACGGTCGAACCTACACTGAGCATTCCATTTCTTTTTTAAGTGCGGCTATTCAATTCCTTTTGCATACTACTTGTCTTCACCTGAATAAAACTAGCAGATGTAGGATGAAAGTGACTTCGTCGTGAGACAAAAGACAGTACTTCACTACATTTTTAGCCAGGGTAGTGTCTTTGGTAGACTTTTACAAGTTTTCTAGTTTTGTTTTCCACAAACTAACCTGCCAGGTATAGAAAAAGAAAGCTAAGAGGAAAGTGAGTTGACAAGCTCAATGTGAAGGTGAAGTGTATCTTCCAGTAGGTCTACCTTGACTTATGCCATTGGTCAAAGTTAGCCGTGTTACTTTCTTGTTGTTTGTGGTGTAATTGCCAAGGAAGACATGCTGGAGTAAGTGCAGTTTATAGAAAAGAACGCAAAAACAAGAACAATGCACAGTTTTTATGCATAATGCGAAGGTAAAAACTCACGTGAGTCGTAAGAGTTTAAGACATCTCTTAAGTTTATCACGAACTTTCGGTTTGGATTGTAGAATTGTTAACTCTTTTCTTAATTTTACAAATGTAGGTTTTGCGATCTGAACGACTTGTTGTTGATCCAGAGGACGACATCTACTACATATGGATGGTACGTAAAATCCCTTCAATTTGAATAATAAAATCACTACACCATATAACTTCGCATAATTTCTCTTCCTAAGATAGAAGAGTGTTTTGAGCTAATCAGAACCCATTGGTGAACGATTTTCGCTCCTCGTGTATGATTAAGGTTTCTGTTTATCAAACTTTGTGTTTTAATATTAAAGACATTACTTCGTTTCCTGTAGGGTGTGATCGCAGCCACAGTTATCTACAACTTTTGTACCGTTATTCTCAGAATCGCGTTCACAGAATCATCGGAAGAGGTAGCATTAATTTGTTATTTATCACATTTCTCTTGACTCGTTCCGACTCAGTTCCGGTACTGGTCATCGTTGAATGAATCTGATCGGCTTTTTTCGGATTCCTTTTTGTTTTTGTTTTTGTTTGTTTTTTGTTTGTTTTTTTTTTGGGGGGGGGGGAACGGAGGAGGTTAGTTAAATTTTTTTAGGGCCTCACCTCCGGCTGCATTTCTGCATTTCGATTTGAACGTGTAAGACCTTCTTCGGCAAACGTTCGCCCGTGTGCGTTAACTCTGATTATATCTAACAAGAGTTGGTATATCCATAGTGCCAGGTGCGCAGAGCGTACAAGGTGGCGAAGTTTTTTAGGGAAACAAATTGGATGCACATTTAATATATTTACCTGTGCCGGCTTGTCAATTGACAAGTATAAAAACCCTGCTCCAACCAAGTCCTCCTTTCGTCACAAGTTTGACAAGAACCGTTCATTAACCCCTCTGCATTTTACACCACATTACTTTTTAACTGCAACACCCTTATACTATACAACAGCAGGCAATTGCAGTCATAGACTGCTTTTTATTTTATCTCGTCACTTCTCCTTAGAATACTCCTCCAATAGGAAATGAGAACAGAACAGCGTGTCAGTTAGAAGGTGTTATCTTGATGTAATTAAATAAATACGTAAATTGAAGCTCCCCCTTATGTAGACTAACTAAGAGCTTAAAAATCCCCACCGGCAGGAGGCAGACCAGTGGGCTATTTACAGAGCGCAGCCGAGGATTTGAACTAGGGGCAACCAAGAAACAAATCCAGTGAGTGGCAGGGTGGAGGACTTGAACCCAGGCCACCGGATTACAAGTCCTGGACCCTAACCACTCGGCCACGGCGCCTCCTCCGAGAGCATCCTAAAATATTTTGCGATAGGTTGTTTAACGGGAACTATTTTCTGGTTAAGTCTCTCTCTAGATTCCTGTTCTGGTGGGGTGATGTTTTTGCAGACGGCTTTTATGCCTGTGACGTGTGTGTACAGCTAAGAACTGCTTATCGAGATGATCAGGGAATCATGGTATACGATGTTCTCTTGTATTTATTAACCCAAAATGAGAGTTTCAATTCATTCTCATTGCTTGATTTTCTTTCCTACATCTACATATACATCTACATTTATTAAGTTGGTAAAATCTGTAGAGACATCACACCAACTATTATTAAACAAAGATATAAAATATATACAATTCTCGGATAAAATTCATAAAGAAATTCGGATAGTACTTTTATGACTGAATAATGTAAATTATAAGAATATAAAGGAAATCGTCTAGTGATTGTTAACTAAATAGGGGAGTAACTTAGAGTTTAAAACAGCATCAGTTTTTTCTATGGTTCAATGTACTCATGACTTTGAAAAGTCTTCCTCTCTGGTTATAAGTAACCATCACGTGGAATCTTGCAATTCAATCCCTCTGACTTTATAACTCCATACTATAATTTCGCCTCCCATACCCTTTCTTTCTTTCAAGGTCAAGGATCCTGTGCAATTATCAGAGATGTATTCAAAGAAGAGACGATTTAAAATTGATATTATTTGCCTTCTACCCCTGGAAACAGTTTCTAGTTTGATATTTTGTAAGTATGACATACTTTAGGCTGCATAATTACTTTTTCTCAAAGCTGTGACGGGATCTTTGTCGTTCTTGTTAAAATGATACCTCAAGATTTCTGGAAAAAGGAATAAAACACATCTTCCAGGGCCGGGTTGTTCGAAACTGAGTTGAGATAACCCAGGGTTAGTGTGAAACCTGATTGCAGATCTGAAAGCCTTCAACGAAAATTCAGTGCAATTCTTTTAGTCTACAATGTGATGATTGGATGTCCTAAAATAAAGTCATACAAAAAAGGGCTTTTGAGGAAAAGAATAAAGAAAGCCCGATTATAGTTTGACCCTAGGTTAGTGCTAGCCTTCGAATAACTGGGTCCTGGGGTTTATAGTGTGATTAAACGTCGCGGGATGTTGGGAGAACACAAGGAAAGCATTTTGATCTCGAGGCATGGATGATATTGTTGGGCAGGAGTGTAAATGAAGCTGCGATTTACTAACACCCCTACCAGGGATAGTGGCAAGATTTGTTTTGTTTTGTTTTGTTTTGTTTGTTTGTTTGTTTGTTTTCATGTCTTCGAAACTATTACCATGAATGTGGCATTAAACTTATTTATGTCTTATTTTTTGTTTTTGTTTTTCTTCGTCTCTCCCTCTCTCCCCCCCTCTCTCTCTCTCTCTCTCTCTCTTTCTCTTTGTCTAGTACCCTGTCATTTTTCGCTGTTCCGTTTACCCAGACTGCTCAAATGGCACTCAGTTGAAACATTTTTCCTTATGAGTGACTATCGAACCAGCAAACCCAATCGCCTGCGGGCTTCCAAACTGATTCTGTACTTGAGTGTGGCCATGCATTGGGTTGCTTGCTTATACTACGCCATCTCAGAGTATGAAGGACTGGGTACTAATGACTGGGTGTACACAGAGACCGAGAAAGGTGGTGATCCTCTAACCAGGTCAGTGATTTATGCAATAAAAAGTTAACTTCGAGAAAGTTATCGTTTCAGAAATAAATTACTATGAACTTCAAACCAGGTGCATCTTCGAGGTTGCAGTAACTTTTTCCATAAGCGACTGCCGATTATGTAATCGGCGGATGTACCTGGAAGAGGGGCATGCTCTCCCAAGAAAAAAAAAATTAAAACTAGACGCAGGCTACACAGACGGCGGTAAGAGGTCCCTATAGGTGGCAGTCTAGTAACCGGCTGTTATGAAAACCCCTTTGTACCAGAAGAAAAAAACTTAAAATTTAAGCATCAGTCTCATCGTGAATCAACGACGTTAGTTCTGCCAGAACTTAAAACATTTAAAACATTTCATTTGTACCCAAAATATGTAATCGATACTTTTTTAGAACGCAAAACTTGTGCTCCACCTTGGATTTCGCTTCTAAAGAAACTGCAACAGAACTGTTGATCGACATTTATTGTTCTTATGCATCTAACAGGAAGTACGTCAAATCCTTCTACTGGTCTGTCCTTACCTTGATGACAATTGGAGAAACACCAAGTCCCCAGACAAATCTTGTAAGTAAATCATAGACAAAATTCTTTGACTGGGTCTCGAAGTCGTCCCGGTTCATGACAACGAATTGAGGGGAATTTGGAAAATGTCCAGCTTTTCTGACCCCGCGCCTAGTCAATGGTACATATATCTCGAGCTTCGAGGAAGCCAAGAGGAAAAATATTGTTAGAGGTCCGGTGTAATACAACGCTGATATAACACTACACTGATACACGTTCCATACCCGTACTGAAGGTTAAAATCATAATGTGCCCTGACGTAAGTCAGTTAAACGTAGCAGTTAAAATTTGAGAAATGTAGAGTAAAATTACACTGTGCAGTGATGCCGCTTCCATAGAATCAGACCTTCAGAATTTTAGGATGGATCCGGCATACGAAACTTTCTCAGTCATAATATCAGTCATCCATTAGAAGTGAAGCATACAAAATCTCTCGTTTCCTACTTTCACAAAACCCTGACGAGAACTCCGTGAGCAAACTTGCACCCTTTACCTTACCTGACGCATATTCTCCACACCGCTCGCCATACATTTCCTGTGGTGTGCACAAAGAGAATTTATAACATAACCAAAGTAAAGCGCGCGCTCTGATTGGTCAATTTAGCGTCCCCCATTTGCCCATGGGTGTACGCTGCTGACGTGAGCAAATGCAAAGACTATTTTTCCGCGCGCGCTTGTTTTTTCTGGTCACGTAAGATTTGTTAAATAAAAGGGAACTCTTTAGCTACAATGTGTTAATGTTATGTTATAAAACAATTGGTAAACACCAGAGCGTACACTATTGGGTTATGGATGCACTTGGCAGGTTTGCTAAGCACTCAAGAAGCTAGAGTCGCTCTCGGCTATCGCCTCGAGCGACTCTTACGCTTCTTTCGTGCTTAGCAACCTCCCGCGTGCATCCATAACTCAATAGTGTACGCTGTGGTGTTTACCATTTGTTAATTGTCCAGTGATCATAAGCTTTAGTAGGATACCATTTACTTTATTCTTGAAACCTTAAACAATGTTTGAGTCAGGGGTGATACTGTGAGGAAAAAATTGAATGCTAGTCATTGTTAGAAGGTGACGACTCACTTAAGACCTCTCCGCTTCTACAAATTCCAGGAATTTGGAGTAACTTGCGTATTCACTCGTATTCCCTGCAGGAATACATTTTTACTGGCTGTATGTTTCTCTTGGGAATCTTTGTGTTTGCCACGGTTGTAGGCAATGTTGGTGACGTCATTAGCAACATGAATGCAGCGAGAACTAATTTTCAAGCGAGGTACGAAACTTTTCAGTTCGCATTCTATGATTGTAAGTGAGACGCGGTAGCGAAGTGGTTGAAGCGCAAGACCCCAGATCGAAAGATTCCTGGTCGAGCCCTGGCTGGGTTATCGTATCGTGTTCATGACACTTCTCTCTCATAGAGCCTTTGCACATCCAGTAGTGTAGATGAATACCGGTGAATTGTCAGGGAAACTTGATGATCAACGAAGGGGTCACAGGTCCGAAATAGCAAAATTCTTGGTCGAACCATACAACTGAAACTTGGACAAGCTTTATTGGTACTGAGTAGTTAAGATTTCCTGTAACTCTGAAAATGATTTGTGTGTGTGTTAGGATGGATGCCATCAAGCAGTACATGGAGCATCACAATGTTCCTTACATGCTACAGACTCGGGTCAAACGATGGGCTCACTACGCATGGAGCAGGTCTGTCACTAGAAAAACACAGCATAAAAAAACGTGTATAAGTTTATTTTTCTGTTCTGTTTTCGATGCCAGACAACTTGTCTTCCCACAAACACGACTAATCACTCTACTTTCTACTTACACAGGACACAAGCCCTAGACGAAGGGGCGTCTTTGGAAATGCTCCCTGAGAGATTAAGGACTGAGATAGCCATTCACGTGCATCTAGACACGTTACGAAAGGTATTGGCTACGCCTTGGGTGGTTAACGTCTTATGACCTCACATTAGTGTGCATATTCTCCATATTGGTCATACTATAGCTTCCCAGTGGCAGATTGTGTTCAGAGCAAGGTGCTGTTTCCCCTCGAAAACCATTAGCCCTTAACCTTTTCTTTTCATGTTTCCAAATCTTTCCTTAGGTGAAGATCTTCAAGGACTGCGAGCAAGGCCTGCTGTGTGAGTTGGTGCTAAAACTTCGACCGCAAATTTTTTCGCCTGGAGACTACATCTGTCGTTGTGGTGAAATAGGTAAAATATTATGGAACGTGTTTAGAGGGGCCATAGATGCAAACTGAGGTCGGGCAAGACTCATTGTTAAACACAAGGGGGAGTAGCAATACTCTTCGTCACGTGGTGTTACAGAATCTGGAATAGGCTCCGGAGTCAATCTTGTGCCCATACTGTGCTTGCAATTTTAAATTCAACTTTTCAGGAAAATATATGGTCGATATTTATGTGATATTTGTCACAGGATTCTGGGGGCTTAATTACAGATTGTATACTTTATTACTCATAATCTTGTTTGGCCGGGTTCTTTCCCCTTCAGGACGGGAGATGTACATTATCAACAACGGGAAAGTTGAGGTAAGACAACGTTTGAAATTTGGTCACCTCAAACGTACACATTCATGAAATAAGAAACAACCAGGAATATAAACTAGGCGATGGTCTATTAATGTTACGCTGCCATCCCCTCTCCCATTCTCTGCTCTCTGAAATTCTCAGTCTACAGTCTTTCTTCATTACAGGTAGTAATACCAGACTCAAACACAGGCGAGGAGGTTGTGGTAGCGTCCCTCACTGAGGGAAACTATTTCGGGGAGATCAGTTTGTTAAGACTCGACGCCGGTAAAAACAGGTTAATGAAGAGAATTCATTTTAAGTGGCATAAGCTTTGTCCTACCACTATTTGCTGCTGGCTCACATTTAGTATTCACGAAATAGGTATTTCTACTTTTTTCTTTGAACATTTAGACGCTCTGCTGATGTGCGCTCAGTGGGTTACTCAGAATTGTTGTGTCTCTCTCAAAAGGACCTAATGGAGGTCAGTTCTCACTTTTTAAACATTATTTCAATTT